AAGTGAGACTGTCAGACATACAAATAAAGTTACTTTCACAATTATAATATCAGTGGGGTATTTTATAAACTAACCCAAAAAAGCTAATGGAAAAAGTTTCATAGATCTTACTTCAAAAATGACGAATTTACCATCAGTTTCGCAGAGCCTTTCACCATATCAATATACGTATAATCCTTGTTATAGTATGTATCTAGTACAAGTAGTTTAATAATATAATTCATCACATTATTTACAGTTTATTCATACTCTATATATTTGGATAAAGAGCTCGAAGTTTAATATTTATGTAATTTTCTTAGTAATAAGTATAGTATAAGCACAGATAACATAATATTACATACAGATACCCCATCCCATACAAGAAAATGGTTCCTTCCTAACTCAGGCTATTCTTCGGGCTATTTTATTTCGCCGCCGTAGCCGCTAGATGTCTCTAGATCTGAAGCAGTTCGGATTACTAGTGGGTGCTTAGTAACAAAGCACGAAAATAGATGGCAGTCAATTCAGACATCTGTTTGCAAAGATAGGTATATAATAGATATGTAGGTAACTGTATCATGACGATTCAAGACTCAATGTAAATGTGTAGGTATAATATCGTTAGCCGTCACTCTGTAGTTATAGCTTATGTGCCAAGGTATATATTATGTTATAGTTTATTGTACATTCCATGCCTATTTTTTTCTCTCGACGAAGATATGTTGTAACGCGTGATTGGGATTTTGATACGTTTAATGGAAAATTTCAATTGTTATGTGTAAGAGACTAATATTAATTTACTGGTATATACCTCATGTATTCTACGATGTACCCCTCTGACATGAGAATCTATATCTTATATATAAATTTTGTATCACAGTGTTAGTTGCCATATTTCACCCACATTTTGATGAAATTTGATATGTATACTTGCTAGGTCTGAGGTAAGGTTGTTATCTATTTTTTATACCCCTAAGTCATAGGGGTGGCCTACCCTGAAAATTTTTTTTTGTATTTTGGACAATTTTTTTTTTATAATGTTACATTAAAAATACATACACGCCTAAATTTTGGCCCGTCTTTCACCAACCCCTATTTTTAATAGCGATATTCTTACAAATATTATAAATGCGTAACTCAGTCTGTCTGTTTGTCTCGCTTTCACGCCAAAACTACTGAACTTATTTAATTGAAATTTGGTACACAGATAATGTAGACCCTGAGAAAGGCTACTTTTTAATGCGAAAAAGGGTTGAAAGGGGAAATGAAAGGCTATATGAAAATATCGTCATTTTTAAAGTCAGATCTTGTAAGCTAGAGCTTTAATTTATAATCTTATAATTTAATTAATAATATTTTTTAGGCTGCTGACTAAATATAAATAAATATGACATTCTAAGTTTGTAAAATGTTATCCTTAAGAGGGTAAAATGAAATATAAGATGAAAGTTGAAGATGATGAAGAAATTCCTAAAACTAGTACAAATTTTTTCTTTGGATTTTTCGAGTTACATTATTAAATATTTATTATTTATTTGGTAAAGGTCACTATTCCACACGGACGAAGTCGCGGGTACAGTTAGTTAATTTATAAAGCAAAACAAGGTTTGCCGGGTCAGTTAATTTATATCTATAATGACAAGAAATTCGGTTTCAAAAGAAGGAACATTAATTAAGCTTACTTTTCTTTCAAAATTGTCTTTTAATGTTAAAAGACAATTTTGACATGTATGAAATGTATGAAAGTAATGTATGTACCTACATTAACAGATAATTTTTGAAATGTATGAATTTTTAATTTTTATAACATAAAAAGTTCATTTTTGAAATGTATGAAAGAAATGTATGTACCTACATTAAAAGACAATTTTGACATGTATGAAATGTATGTACCTACATTAAAATATAATTTTTGAAACGTATGAAAGTAATGTATGTATCTACATTAAAAGATAATTTTTGAAATGTATGCACCGTACAATAACAAGACACATTAAACATCATACCACAGAGTCATACGCAATTAAAAACAAACTGCTATGATATTGATGACAAAGGAAAATCAACTTTATGGTATTCGGGTTAGGGTCGATTTCTCTCTTTTGTTTTAATATTTTAATCTTACCAGTTGCCAGTATTCGAAGACAGCTACGATTCGTACTCGATATTTTAAATTATTATGTAATCGATTTTTCAGTACAAATGTAAATAACCAACGACACCAATAATGTACTGCTATATTCCGTTCTTTGAAACGGAACACTGCTATAATACAAAATAATGAAATTTTACTGTTCACAAAGACTCATTAAAAGCATCATCGAATAATGCGCTGTAATAAAATCCTGTTATCGATTATTCGAAAAAATCGATAATACACGTATTTATTTTTAATATGGCAACACTTCATACATAGGTATTATTGGAAATAGTATTACTTGCTTGTTCGGCTATTTTTAATTTACTTAAACTTTTTTTATATGTTTAATTTACAACAATAATATATTAAGTGCTTATTATTGGAAAATATAAAAAAGACATTTAATTAGGCCGATACAAATGACGACAATGCCATCTATGAAAGCATTTTGAAAACATTGAGCCCCGTATTAGCACTGATTAAAGTGTAAATAAGTACTGGAAAATAACAAAATGCGTAAATATATGAAAATTACTTTTCTAAACGCATTATTTCTTTTTAACAATTATATATAACTTTTTAAAAATTGATTAAACATTTTTGAAAACACAGTTTTGTTTTTTAAAACGTTTGCAAAACTATGAAGAATTCCATCGATGCCAATCACGCCATCTATATGCAACTTTTAGCAATAATAATGGCTACTTACTCACGGAGTACCACTGGTATAAGTAAGGAGCCAACAGAATATCTGCAGTGAGTGAATCGCTGCAGAGTTATCTGTAGCATTATACTGAGTTTACCTTTTCACTTTTGCGGCACATAAAGTCACCTATATTTCTTGTATTAATTCGTGTTTTTTCTGTATCTGTATCTCATGTATGTTATGTGTCTGTAATTGTGAATAAAGAATTTATCTATCTAAAATCTTTCATCCCCTATTTTATTTTACCCCCTTATGGGTAAAATTTTAAAAACTTTGAATATCATATTTAATCACCAACCTAAAATATAAGTTTCAAGCCTACATTTAAAAATGATGATTCTTACGTACAACCTTGCATCTACCATTTCAACGCCCTTACAACCCTTTTTTCGCATCCAAAAATATCCTATGTGCTTTCTTAAGATCTAGACTAACTATGTACTAAACTTCACTTAAATCTGTTAAGTAGTTTTAACATGTAAGTGAGACTGACAGACAGACAGAGTTAGTTTGAATGTTACAATATTAGTAAGGTATTTAATAAGCCAATAAAAAAAATTCATAATTCTAACTTCAATAATGACGAATTTACATAAAAACCTTCAACCTTCTTCATACATGTTATATAAATACAAAATACACAGGAGTGTTAAATACTTACCAATTAATTATGTTACACGCAATTTCGAACAAGCTAACTGGATGAAGAATTTTTTTTTTAAAGAATTAAAGAATTTATTTAAACCAAAAACAAAGTTATAACAATAACATATTAAACGTAAACAACTACATTAGTTTACAAAAAACTGTGTTACAGTTATTTGCGCCCATCTCCAGAGCATTGTATACAATTTAATTAAAAATAAATGAAAATAAATGAATATTTCTCCTTAAGAACCTTTAGAGAAAGACAAAGTATATAAAATAAAACAAATGATATTTATAATTTATGAGCATTAGAACAAGTGTGTGTGAGTGTGTGTGTGTGTGTGTGTGTGTGTGTGTGTGTGTGTGTGTGTGTGTGTGTGTGTGTGTGCGTGTGTGTGTGTGTGTGTGTGTGTGTGTGTGTGTGTGCGTGTGCGTGTGCGTGTGCGTGTGCTTGTGCGTGTATTCCTTTATTTTTTTTTTGTAATTGTATTCGCAAGCATAACTTTGTGTCAGTTTTATGTGAATATATACTATAAATACAGCAATTAAACTATTAGATTTTCGGCTTCATCATAAGAGGGGTTCAATAACCAGTTAATTATTTTAATTTTACATTCGCGATGATTAAGGGAGTATATTTGTAAAATCTTATTCACTCGATTATAAACTTTAGAACTAATAAAACAAAAATGTCGATCCACAAGCCTGAGTCTACTTGGAAACTGTTTACAAATATGATCAGTCCTGCGCTTGTTCATAAATAAATTATGATCAAATACCATACTTGAATGTATACGCAAAATTAGTTTCATAATAAACAATTTTCTAAGTTAGAACTTTGCATTTGCCATATAAATCAGTTGTTGGGTATCTAATAGATTTACCTAATAATACCTTTAAAACAGCGCGTTGAGCTCGTTCTAGTCTTAGAAGCAAAGTTTTGGCTGCGCCACCCCAAGCTGTTATACAGTAGGTTAATATAGACTGTGTTAGAGTATAATATACCATTTTTAAGGTTTGTTCATCAACAGAGTGTCGTAATAATTTAAAAACGAAAATCAATTTACGTGTACGGGCAATAATAGAATCTATTTGAGGTTTCCAACTCATAACGCTATCAATGAGAACTCCCAAATATCTTATACTATTTTTGTTGAATTGGGAGATATTCCGAGTGAAATGATCTAGATTTTAATGGATATTTTTAATAAAATACGAACATGATATTAAACGTAACTTTTAATCTAACAATATATTTTTTTAACAATGTCAGAATTTATTACTCAAATACAATTATGTATATGAACCTCTATGTTCATTCAACATGCCCCCTTAATTGTATTTTAATTTAACATGTATTTAAGAACACCACTAAACATTTTAAGAAAACTACTTTTAAAAAAAATATTTATATTACTTACTCACTGAACTATAACTATTACAATAAACAAATAAAAAAAAACTTCTGTCTTAAAATAAAATAAAATTACTTGTATAGTTGCCCCTTTAATTTTGTTTTATAAACTAAGAAATAATATAGGACTTTAAATAGGAAAATTTTACATTTCCAAGAGGCTTCGTCAGAATATCAGCAATTTGATGCTCAGAGGGGCAATATTTTATTTTTAAAAGTCCTTCACTGACTTTTTCGTGTATATAATGATATCTGACATCGATGTGCTTTGGTCTTCTGATCATAATACCGTTGTTAATTAAATGAATTGTACTTTGATTATCTACATAAAGCGTTGCATTAACTTCTTCATTTACTACCTCACTAATTAAGAATTTTAGGTACATTAACTCCCGACAACAATCTGCAGCTGCTATATATTCGGATTCCGATGATGAAATGGCAACTATGGGCTGTTGTCTTGATGACCATGTAATAGGACCTCCACATAGAAAGATTATATAGCCTGTTGTGCTCTTTCTTGTATGTGGATCATTAGCATAATCAGCATCACAATAAGCTTCTAAATGTAGATTACTGTTATAAAATTTAATACCTGAATTCGATGTCCCTAGCAGGTACCTTAATATTCGTTTTCCATTAATGACATCTTGCTTTGTTGGTTTTTCCACTCGTCTACTACAAAAATTGACCGCAAATGCTATATCAGGACGAGTTTTATTAGCAACACATAATATCGACCCTATAAGTTCTCTGTAAGGAAAATACGAATTATTAAAATCAATTTTTTCATCTTCTGTCTCTATTTTGTTTGCTCCGATGCACATTGGTATTGGAGTACATTAGCATCTTTCATTTCAAATTTATTTATTATTTTGTTAATGTAATTTTCTTGTGTTAATGTAATATGATTATTTTCATTTTTATTAATTACTATTCCCACAAATAAAGTAGGTTCTGTATTCAACGTCATTTCAAATTCATTTTCCAGCTCTTTTATTAACTTCTCCATTTTTTTTTATCTTTTCCCATGAGTATTCCATCGTCTACATAAATACCCAATATAAGTGATTCATTTTTAAATAAACATTGATCAGCTTTTATAGGTAACAATCCTTTATTTTTTAAATGATGTAAATCTCTCGTTCCATTTTAATGGTGCTTGTTTTAAGCCATAGTGATTTTTTTTTATTTTACATATTTTTCTTCATAACCCTCTGGTAACTTCATGTATATATCTTCCAATAACTCTCCATATAAAAAGGCTGTTTTAATGTCAAATTGCATAATATTGTAATTTTTATATGCAACAATAGCAAACATTGCTCTTAATGTACTTGTATTTATTACTGGACTGTACGTTTCCGTATAGTCTTTTCCTTCTTTTTGTTGACAACCTTTTACTACTAATCTAGCCTTATAGCGACCACTTTCCTTAATTGTAAATACCCATTTTGCCGTTAGTATATTTTTATTTTTTTACTTCTTCCACATCTATTACATACCACGTATTATTTTGCTCTAATGATTGCATTTCATCTGCTATAGCTTTTTTCCATTTTAATTTATCATCTCCAGATATTGCTTCTCTGTATGTTAAATATACGAAATCTGGATGTATATTTCGTTTCTTTTATCTTTTTCCTCTACCTAGTAAAGTATCATCTTCTTCTATAATATTATTATTGTTTGAACAACATGGAGTATTCTGTAAAAAATTTGTTTGTATGTCTTGTGACTGTTCTTTATCTTGTTCATACTTATCATTCATACGTACCATCTCTACCGTATCATTAAAGTTTTTAATTTCTACATTGTCATTTTGGCAATCCGTTAACAAAGGTGTATTATTATGTTTTTCCTTATTTATATTCATATCAAAATCATTGGCTATTTCATTAACATCATTATGAAAAATTACATCTCTCTACATAAAGTTTTCTTTTCTCTTCCGACCACAATCTATATCCAACCATTATTAATTTTTTGCTTCTAGGTTCAAGTTTTTTTACATATGCTGTACTGCCAAAACATTCGACATATTTAAGATTTGGTTTTTTATTTGTCCATTCTTCATATGGTGTAATATCCATTTCAACTGTAGGTAATCTATTAAGTAGGTATGTAGCCACTAAAACGGCCTTATCCCACATTTCATTATTAAGTACAAATGACACCAAACCATACAGCTTGTTATCTGACATAAGTATATTTCTTTCAAAAACTATAGATCTCAAAGTATATATACTAGAAGTTGCCTCAAATAGGTTTCTTAACATAGACAAATTAAATTCACATATACAGTTAATAGTCAACAATCATAAAATTTGCAAATCTGTCTGTTTGTTTTGCCATTTGCCAATCTATGTATCCCTTATGCTTATAGATAGCTTTACTAGTACATAAATGGAGGAGGAGGTGGTATAACTTAGGCTAATCTTTTTTTTTTTTTATTTATTCAATATCTCCGTATCCAGAGCTTCTCCAAGATCTTCTTTCTGTCTATTGCTGCTGTTCTATCTTTCACTTGCAGTCATCTGTCATCATACACATTGGTGTGTGTCTGGTACTCTGTAAATTTATAAATGAACACCACAGTGAGATACAAAATATGTATTGTACAAAATATTACACATATCACAAAGTTTACCAAATTATATGTAATTTTTATTCTATATCAGCAGATAAGAAGATAAGAAGTTACTAGTTTTGATGTATACTAACTGTCTAACAGATGTGAAACAGTCAGTTTAACCATGTATGTATTTAAATAAATTATGATTAATTGATTACATGATATGATTATTTAAATGAAATAACTACAATTTACCCCTCTAATACAATAATAATAATGCAAAATAATATATTGATTTGTAAATAACCAAAACTTGGTATGTAATTAAAGCTTAAGGCCACTGTCACTTATAATTTAATAATTGTAATATATTTTCTATTATAAGAAGTTGTACCAATTACTGGTTGAATATCAATAATCATCATTCAAAAATATTGTGTTCTGCAGATTATGTATGTATATACTCTGTACATATATTAATGAAATACTCATACAGAATGAAATCACAGGACACATCCACAAATAAAACTATATGTAACATTACCCTATATTATTGAATAGACATATTTATTTACATGAACGGCAAGCACCACGGCCAGCATGAAAAGCAACTCATCATAGAGACATACATAACCTAAGCAATAATATTGTTATATTATATTGTTAGTGAAGTGAGTGGATGTGGATTAATAACACTGTACATAGCTACCTGGCGCGATTGAAACATTCCATTATAGTTAATTTAATATATATGTAGTTAGTTACTGACTTTTCATCACGGTGACAGGAGGGAGATATGTGTGTTGTGTTGGCTGAAGCTGTGTCCTGTGGTTGCAGCATCTGGTACTTGAACTTATTACGATGGTCGCTCTCCGATTGCGGCAGGCGGCAGGCGGCAGGCGGCAGGACCTTAAAGAAATTATATCAAATTCCAAGAAGCAAACTCACATCATTTTTTGGCTTTAATAGCACTGAATGAATAAGAGTAGTTCATCAAGAGTTCAAGAACAGCTTGCGTAACAAACAAACAAACAAACAAACAAACAAACAAACAAACAAACAAAACAAGCTTGGGATGCACTGTCTGGCATATCAATGTACACATATATGAGGAAACAGTTATAAAAAAGTGATGCAAAAATCATATAACCCCTATAAGCTTGCATTTTGTGACAAACACCAAACAAATCTTGCACAATTTATGTTATGAAGCAAATAAATTGTATTCTATGCACTCAGAAGGCACTTAGTATTTATATAGCGTTGCATTTTAAAAGAAGACGTGAAACAGTTAAAATAAAATGTCTACCTAGGCGTCACCTACATAGGTGTAGATTTTTCCTTTTCATCTCATCATCAGGATCAGTAGCTGTGATACGAGGAGGACATTTCTTGTTTTCACATCGACATGCATATGTGGACATGTAAGCACAAACGAATACAGTACTTAGTATATATTATTCATTAACAAACAAAAAAAAAACATTCACATGGCGACCGACTCGCGCGCACACTCACTCACTCACTTGACAGTCACAGACCAACGACATTTTTTTTTTGTTTCTTCTATACTACATACATATGTATACTCTGTCCTCTGTCTGTTGAGTCGGACGACGATTGATGGCTCGGCGTAAAGTTCTTTTGCCAAAGTTAAATACTAAAAACTAAAAGAGGTAAACAATCACATTACACATATGTATGTATTTTATATTGATAATTATATCTAAATCGTAATTTGAAATACATTTTTCGTACCATAAACCATTTATTGATCTGTGTTATTTAGTTTATTGCACAAAACAAAAAAAAAATGTATCATATCATAGACAATACACTTTATATGAGATTATAAGAAATTTAACATTATTTTAGTGGTACAACTGTAATTATTACATTACAGTTGTACCACTAAAACAATGTTAAATTAAATATACATAAAAAAAGAAAGAGAAAGAAAACAACTCTTTTTGCAATTATTTTTGAAGTAAATGCACTGATTCATCGATTCGTCTATAATTATCGATTTGCATTACGTGTCCACATTTTCATGAATTAAATACATAAAAAATAATCAATAAGTACCATAAACTATTTATTGATCTGTACTTTGTTAGTTTAGTTTATGGCACAAAAAAATGTATCATATCATAGAGAACGAAAGATGACATAAGAAGACAATTAACACATTCTTGTGGTGGTACAACTGTAATGTAATAAAAATATGGTAAAAACAAAAAAAAAAGAAAGAGAAAGAAAACAACTGTTGGTTGTTCCAATTACTTTTGAAATAAATGCATCGATTTGTTTGCGAATTAAAAAAGTCAACAAGTAAAAAAAAAAAAAGAAAACAATATTATTCCAACATCGAACACTGCTGTGTGGACAGTGTTGCCATTCTCCATTAAATTAATGTATTTTGTTAAGAACTCTGTTGTCTGTTCATCAATACTGATTTGATTGATTTATTTTTTTATTGTATTCTATTGTACCGCATTTTTTGAGCTGTTTTTTTTTTAGATTACTTAATATTAGATTGAAACGATATCGTATACTGGCAATTTTGCTCGCTGTGTGGACAGTGTTGCCATTCTCTATTAAATGAATGAATGTATTTGGTTAATAACTCTTTAGTTCACATAAGGAAAATATATAATATATTTGAATTTTACGTTCCTTGTCATCTCTAAAACATTAGAAAATAAAAGATTGTTATATTTTTGAGCTGTTTTTTTTTTTTAATTACTTAATATTAGCAGTGGGCTGATAAAATGGCATAGTAGCCATTTTTAGTTCGAAAAACGGATTTAGATGGCGTCATTGGTATCGAATGGAATTCAACATTGTTTTGTAATCGTTTAAAACCCAAAACTATGTTTTTAAAAAGGTTTAATCTATTTTTAAAAAGTCATATATAGATGTTAAAATGAAATAATGCGTTTTGAAAAGTAATTTTCATATATTTACTCATTTTGTTGTTGCCCTGTATTTGTTTACAATTTAATCATTGCTAATTGGGGCTTATTGTTTCCAAAATACTTTCATAGATGGCGCTGTTTTCATTTGTATCGCCGTATTTTAAATGTTTATTTTATATTTTCAAATAATAAGTACTTACTATATTATTATGATAAATTAAACATAAAAAAAGTTTAAGTAAATATAAAACAGCTAAACAAGAAAACCATATTATTCCAATAATACTTATTTAGAAAGTGTTACCATATTAAAAATAAATGCATAGATTTATCG